TGGGGTGAGTAAACAGCTTTCCAGTCCAAGAATGGGTGCAACTGAATGTACCATGCAAATGTCCTCTTGGCCCTATTTGCTCCCTGATCAGGAACTATGAATATAAGAGGAAACTTTGATTGTTCAACCACTTCCAAGGCTCAGAGTTGAACAGTTATACATCCAGGGCCCCCATAGCCACTGAGAAAAGATGTTATTAAAATAAATTAAGGTACAAATTAGGAAGTAATAATACTGGAACTTATAAAATTATCTCTAGTCTAATTGATTTCCACATTCATTCCAGATTAAGTAAAAACAGAAAGCAAGTGTCTGAGCAAAGAATCCCTTAAATTACAGGAAAGGAAATGAATCTAAGGGGGGGGGGAATCAAAGTGTTGGACTTTTTGACTCCTACATGAATTGAGAGGCTGTGTTCTTTGTGGTAATCTCTACCAGCATTTCCAATCTTCTGTAACTGATCTTGAGATAGTGTTATTGGGGGAAAAAAGATTTTAATATGTGCAATAGTGCTACAGTTCATCAAAAGGTCAACTTTTTATTTTTATATTTCAGAGAAATGGCTTTATGTTACACTACATGCATTAACAATTTCCCAGTGACAGCAACATTTCTATGAATCTTCCCCATATAAATTATTAATATTGTCTGTGCTTTTATGTTTCATTTACCCAATATCACACTTGTTTATAATTCCATGATTGTATGCTAGATTTCAGAAATTCACAGAATTTCAAAACAGTATGGCACATCCAACATATTTTAACCAGGGTAAGGCTGCTGTTGAATTATATTGAATTCTAAATATTCTTGCAATTCAAGATAATCTGTGCAATTCAAGATAACATTTCATGCATTTAATAAAAAAGGATTGCTGTGCATGAAAATATTATTTTATATCTGTTGGCTTTAAAGAAACTATATAAATTCCTGTTACAAAGAAATTTGTATGTGTGTATATGTGTGAATAATAAGAGTGCTAATTTTGCATTCATTTAAAACTTTATTGGATTTGTCCCAAACTGGTCAAAATGCATTTCCTTTCAATCAATCCCTATGTCCTACAGATATTCCATGTTGCCTTTTTTTTCTTTTTTAACAGCAGTCTAAACTGACAACCAATCTGGCCATCTTCCCAAAGCATCTATTCTGCAATGGTCATCTAGGAGAAATAAATAAAATGCTGAGCAGTGACATTAATATGCTTACATTATTAATAAGTCTCTCCTTTTTTTGTCCCACCCACTTTAATATGGGAAGTTTCCAAAATATCAACATTTTTTTAACTATTAAGAATTTGATAAACAGTTGGTTGTTATATAGGTTTATAAACCACCTCTGAATTCCAAAGAGACAGACAGACAGACAGACAAAGTTGTGTCATCTTATAGAATAGTATATTCTGTCCACAAAACACCTGCTTTCAATTGTGGCTGAAAAATGAAAAAAAAAATCACAAGTTGTCATATAATAGTAGCCATAATTAGTACAATTAAAAGAGACTATTCAAAAGGCAAACTAAGTTTTTTCAGCATTCTACACAACTTCATTAGGGACACTAGTTTGCTCCTGAGATTGATGCTTATTTCAGACTTTCTCCAATCTGTTGATTGTGACATGTGTGAAAAATTTCTGGGTTGTAGAAAATCTGTAGATCAGAATCTTTTGGAGCTTCTTCCTCTTCCTCTTCCTCCTTCTCCCTTCTCCCTTCTCCCTTCTCCCTTCCTCCTCCTCCTCCTCCTCCTCCTCCTCCTCCTCCTCCTCCTCCTCCTCTTTTTCAACTGTTTGGTAATATCTCCTACATCTAAGCAAACATTGAAGAACTTGACCGGTGGTTTTGCAAGTATTTATTCATTTGTTTCTAAACTTCTGAGATAACAGCATTTATGCTTGGGACTTTGTTTGACTTTTCTAGTCTTATTTCATGAAGAACCTCATTTGTTTCAATTTTTAGCACTGTTCAGTATCCCTCTGAATGGTAACATTTTGTCATAGCTGCTTTTGAGGCAATGAATCTGGTACTCTTTTTCAATTTCTATCCTTTTGGTTGTAGTGACATTCATCATCTTTCTTGAAAGGTTTCAAGAGCCCTCTTTTCTGTTGCAGTTCTTTCTGACACTTTATGATGCTACCTTTTGCCTTTATTGCTTTTTGTGTCTTTATATAGTCTTCCTTTACTTGTTGCCTTACTTTATGATTTAGCTCACATAGAGTAAACCTGTCAATTATATTCTCCCCTTTGAGTTCTTTATCTTATGCCATTTGTTATGTGTTTCAGCAAATGTCATAGTTAATTTTTGCAAGTTGCTCTAAGACTTATTTTAGTGTCACACTGAATCTGCTGCTAAGATTATAGGAGAGAACCTAGAATTTGGCCTGTAAAGACCCATTAAATCCATCACTTTGTTCTACGAGTCAGTGGTATGTGTCTCTAAAGACATTGTCCCACATCTTCTTTTGTATGTCCTTTAGCCTTTCTGTGAGTTATTCATAGTGATTTGGGTGGATGATTCATCTTTGTAGCTTGCCAGACTTGAAGAAGGCATGGTTCTGCAGTTTCCAGCTCCAGACCTTTTCCTCTTGACGTTTTACCTACCTTTTGTGGTAGAGAGTCTAGGTAGAAGATATATTCAGTTTTTTGCTAATGGACATTTGACTTTTTTCACACAGGACTTGCAATAAAATATTCAGGTAAAATGTTATCTTCATCTCATTTGTTTACATCGGAGCATGGAAGTGTTAAACTGCTCATTTGAGAGCTTTTAAATACATTCAAGATGCATTGAGACAAGCAAACAAAATGTAGTTAAGCTCAGTGCATTAGCATCGTTTTCTACAAACTGAGGCCATAAACAAAGTCAATGCCTTATCAAAAGCCAACTAAATGAACTCATCTGTAGACTCTCAATCCTGCAGAAGCAGAAATAGACTAGCAAAAAAAAGATTTAACATCTTGACCCTGCCTTGCACTCTTCAAAGGTCTTGAGGGACATCAGTGACTACCCTTTTCTACACCTGGAGAGAATTCTTAGAATTATATTTTTAACTCATCTACACCTTTCTAGGTGATATTGTTTCAAAGAATATACCAGAAGTATGCCTGCCACACTGATTCTCATAGAATGAACAGAAAGAGTATGATTGAATTGGAATATTCTTTATTGGTCAAGTGTGATTGGACACACAAGGAATTTAACTCCAGTGCATAAGCTCTCAGTGTACTAATGAACAACAAAGTGGTCGGTCATAGATCATAAATCATAATATACAATCATAAATCATAAGATGCAAACAAGGGATAATCATAAGATACCAATAGGAGAAGGTAGTAGAGAAGATGAGAATGATAAAAGCAGTACAGTCCTACTATAAGGATAAATATTTTTAGGCACAAGACAATGCTGTGGGAATTAGGTGTTTAGCAGAGTGATGGCATGTGGGGAAGGGAAGGAACTATCTTTGTGTCTGGTTGTTTTGGCATGTAATGCCCTAAAACAGCATCCTTAGGGGAGAAGTTTAAACATTTTATTTCCAGGATGTGTGGGATTTATAGATATAGATATAGGAGTTTCCATAAGTTATTCAGGAGTAACTTATATCCAGAAGACAGTGTTAATATGATATTCCATCACATGTAATCTATGGAGTGTCTCAAAAGCCACAGGAACACTAACAGGCTTGAATATTATTAATTAGAAGCCCTGGCCATGATTCAAGGAACTCAAGAATGTAAAACATTAATTAGAAGAAAAAAAAGACCACAACCAATTCTCAAAGAACCCTGGATAGAAGAGGCTATAGTTTACCATGAAATATTGCAAAAGAGAAAGGGAAAAAAAGATTCTAATCAATCAGGTTCATCAGCAGTTATGCCCCCAAAGATTTAGGGCATGCTAAATGTTTTCCTTTATACACACACTCACCTACGCACACAAAAACAACCTTCTTTGGTCCCCTGTAAGTTGCTAGGCAATGTGCATTCAGACTTTTGAAAAGTCTAACATTGCAGAGCTAATTAAAAGTCAAAACAAACTTTCAACTTACTCTTTTTGTATGATTCTTTGTCATCATTTTTCCATGAGGCTAAACATTCAGTAGTATATCTGAAAATAGTCTGCAGTGACCAAACTCATGAAAGATATCCAAGACTGCAAAGAATTCTTTGCTCTATAAAAATAGGTTCCATGTTTTGCTAAATGTTTCTTTTTCAGTGCATTAAAGGATTATATATCCTGAAATGTAAAGTATTTTAAAAAAATCAAGGTTTTGGTCAAAGGAACAGAAATGGTTATAGGTTTTGCTACAATATCATAATAATAATACTATTCTTAGAAAGTATCTAATGAGGAGTATGTGGATATGGAGGATTTTTTTAAAAAAATATGTAACAATATCATTTCTTATTTTCATAAATCAACAGTAGAGATTATGTAGTTATGTTTGTACCCATTTTCAGATGTAATGAATGAAAATTTAATATTTTATAGACATCCTGCAATATTTCCTTCCTTCCTCCTTCCTTCTTTCCTTCCTTCCTTCTTCCCTCTCTCCCTCCCTCCTTCCTTCCCTCCATCTCAATATTCTTATTTTTCTCCTTGAATATTTCTCTTCTGTTTTCTCCCTTGTTTTCTTCTCTTTACCAAAAAGAAGCAAAACAAAATCAAAATAAAATTGAAAATTCATAAAAACAGTGTGATCTTTATTTAGGACCCATCACTTTTTCTGATGTCCAAGAAAATAGTACAATACTTTCTTTATTCTTATCTGTGAATGGAAGAGAACAAAACCTAACATGGGTAGGAGAAGGACTACACTAATTTTTTCTCAGACTTTTTTTTTCCTTCTGTAGAAGTAAGAGAACGTTTGTAGCTTTTTCAAACTAAAAGTATACTTCTTTGCTTTTCCCATTTTTTGAGAAATCAAAGAAGGTGGAATGTTCAAATCCCCAGGTTCTGTTAACTCTCAAGTCTTTCAGCTATTTTGAACAGATGTCAGATATAAAGACTGCCTGCCTGCAGATCAGATTCCAGTTGCCAAGTCTCGCGATCACTTTCCTAAACAGTTGATTATAATGTCAGCAGTTCAATTTGGAAGCTTTATAGAAGCAGCTGAACACTGCAGTTTCCTGAAGTATTAAAGAGCACTGCATGCTCTTTCTCTCTCCCTCTCCCCCTCTCTCCGTTGGCTTCTCTATAACCGAATTGGGTAAGAGATTCTCTATTTACGTTGATCTCTATCAGCAAAACTTATAGTTAAGCTTGATATGTACAGAATTGCAGTCTGCTAAAATGCTATGTTCTCTCCATGTGTTGCTCTGCTAAGAATACCAAGTTTATTTTGCAAATGATGAAACAAGTAAGCAGGCAGGTGTACTGAACTATAGTATTATTCAATGGATTCTGAGCTAAGTAAATTAAACTGAACTTTATAAAAATCATTTATTAATTTAACCACTTTCTGAATTTAAATTGAGGTCATGTTGCCTTGTATATAGATTTCCTGGTTGACTAAAGATTTACAAGAAGAGGAAACAATCACTGAGATCAATTTGTGTTGCTTCACTGAATGATAATAGTGAAGTATATTCTGTTTAACTTCCATGGAGTAAGGCTAAATGGAAACAAATCTTTAAAAATAAACATATCTAAACTCATGTTTCAATTTGGATGTCATCTGAAAGAAACTTTCTAATTATTTTAATCTTATGAGAATGAGATAGATTTGTTTTGAATTGCTTTGGTTAACATGAATCAATTTAAGAACACCAACAGCTAAACTTTTGATTGATTGCAATAGAGAGAGAGAGAGAGATCAAATCCCTATTGCAAAACATTTGACTTCGGTACAATGATATGTTAAGATGTACACGTATGGACTTGCAGCATGGTTTAACCTGAACTGCTAATTGGTAGAAAATTAAAACAGTTCAAAAAGTGTTACATAAACCATTTGGTATGTACAACATTATGACAGATTCCAATATGTATAGTTGATAGCTAACATTGGCTGCCAGCCAGCGCATTGCTATATGTACTTGTGTGATGTTCATATTAATAGACCAACAGTCTATGAACTTGACATGTTATTCTTTTTCTTTCTTTTTTTCTTTTCTTTTCAGTGCTGGTTCCTTCATTTAAGCACAGGGGTCTAAATATTTTGCTTGTAAATTCTGAGTTTGCACAACTAAAAACTTTCCTTTTCTTTTTCCAACTAAAACAGTAGGCATTCTATAGGTGTTGAAAGTAGCTGTATTTAACTGAATGCTTAAGTTTTCTGTGAAATGAAAGTTTTGTTTCTTTCAAATCTAGATTCAGTACTCAACATACTTTCTTGTAAATAATCCTATTAAATTCTATGTGGTTTAAATATGATATGAAAAGATGTAGATCTATTTCAACATATTTCCCCTCACCTTCTTAAGTAAGTTAAATTATTTTGATTAAAGTCTTATACCATGAAGCAGTTTCTAATTAAATGTGTAATTTAGATTTCAATCCAACTCTATACTTAGTGGGACTTGCTTCAAAGTTCAGAGGATTGTCTCATATTTTTCCTTTCCATTTTATATTATCATTATCAGGGTTATGAGGGGAAAAATGGATTAACTTTTAAGCATTTACAATTCAAATCAATACCTTCCAATTGTGAAGATAGGTACTTGTGTAGTTGACTATAACACTGAACCCAGTGTTACTATTGATAGAAATATGTAGCCTTGATTTTTTGGGCAGGGGAAGTGCCTTGTTTTACACTATTTGTAGCATGTCTCTACCCTCATCTAAGAGTACTCACTATCAAAATGCAAGAAAGGCATACTTCTAGGTAGATATAAATAGGAGTGTGTTTCAACTTTTTTTAAAAAAAGTTATGTATTCCTCTCTGTCTCTCTCTGTCTCTCTCTGTCTCTCTCTCTCTCTCTCTCTCTCTGTCTCTGTCTCTGTCTCTCTCTCTCTCTTTTGTAATGTCATCTCCTCCACCCAATTTTTATTGTTATCTAAACATTTTTTCTCAACCTAGGCAACTTGAAGAGGTGTGGACCTCAACTCCCAAAATTCCAGCAATGGAGTTGAAGACTGGGAATTCTGGGAGTTGAATGACTTCTTGAATTGAAGAATTCTGGGAGTTGTCCACACATCTTCAAAGTATCCACATGCTCACACATTTTTAAATTAGCCAGGTTGAGAAAAATTAGTTTTAGCAGTTCTCTAACGTTGCCACTGTCATCTCTGCAGGCAAAGACTGGGAAAGAACTAAATATCATTGTCCTACTTAACAGATGTGTATCTAAAAAAAAGGAAGTCCTTCTTTAGATGTAACTCCTCCCACTGAATATCTGTGGCTAGCTATAATTGAAAGGAACTATGTTTTAAAATGTGTATATATAAGAGAGAAAGAAAAATACTAAAATTGAATGGTATCAATCAATCCATCAACAACAAATGTATAATAGGATTTCAGCAAAAGCTTTCATATAATTTAATCTCACTTACATCTATTCTTAAATTTGCCACTCCATATTAATTGTCAACCCCTCTCAGTAGATCAGACCAGGAATCAAGTCCACATGAAGGCTTTTTATTGAGGTTGATTATAATACAGAATCTTAATGGTTTGATTATGTTACGTTCTTCCTTTTTGTATTCTAGTGAATAAAGGAAATCTCTTCCCAAAGTTATCTCATTGCTCTGAACTTTAAAATGTTTTAATCCCTTTTGCCTAGGTAACAGTTTCTGCACATTTTCTTCAAGGTCAACTTTCTTACTCACTACCTAATATAGACTTGCAGTTCAAAAAATGTCTAGACAATGGAGAGAAGGACCTGTACATTGACTACCATGCTGACTGTATCAAAAGTAAGTCACACAACCCGCAACTCAGCTTTAACCTTCAACCACAACCCTACCTCAACCAATCCACCATCACCCAAGACTAGGCACGCACGCCCCTAACTACCTCAATTCCAACTACTGCTGGCCTTAAATGCAAGCTACTCAATGCAAGAAGCCTCACGAATAAAATACCTGAATTTTTCCTCCTACTAAATATGGCTAAATTCGACATTATATTTGTCTGTGAAATATGGCTCAATGCATCTCTCCCTGACTCCATTACCACAGTAAGAGACTATCATGTTTACCGATCAGATCGTGAAATTCGTAGAGGAGGTGGTGTTGCTATCTTCTATAAAAAGTCCTTACATCTAAAAAATATCCAAGTTACCCAGGAGCTTGCTCTTCCTGAGACCATCATCTGTGAACTATCCTTAAATATCACAATTCGATTCTTACTATGTTACAGAGCACCTGATTATGACATCGAACATGTAAACAAACTAAATACACTACTAACATGGGCAGCATCCTGCCCATACCCTTTTATCTTTCTTGGTGATTTCAATCTACCTCATATTGACTGGACCCTAAATGAATGTACAACTGAAACCATACACGCAACCTTCTACAATGCTGTTACAAATCTGGGACTGGAACAACTAGTAACCAACAACACTAGACTAAACAACTGCCTCGATCTCATCTTCTGCAATAGTTTGAATTTAATTTATGGAATACAAACTAAAGAACCCTTTTCCAGCAGTGACCACAATATGGTTGACTTTTGCCTCAACATACGCCCACACAAAAATCACCACAATGACGTAATTCCCAATTATAACTTCAAAAAAGGCAACTATGATATTATACACAACAATCTCTCATCCCTTGATTGGCAATCTCTATTCATTGGATGCAATACTGTTGAAGACCATTACAACATATTTTTACTTGAAGTCAAAAGAGTCATCAAACTATATGTACCAACAACAACTCCCAAAACAAAACAAAAAAACAGATTACCCATAACAATAAGGAAACTTCAATCCAAAAAGAGATCACTCTGGTGGAAAAACAAATCTGGTCACGTTGCCAATTTCAAAAGCCGATACAAAAATTTATGCCACCAGATAAAGACTGAATGCACCAAGAGGAAAACCTTCTACGCACCAATTCTACCTGTGCTTTTTACAATTTTGTAAACAACAAACTAAAAGACTCAAGGTCCATCCCACCCCTGATAGGACCTAATGGTAAAGACTGCAACGACGACACCATTAAAGCCAACATCTTTAACACATTCTTCGGCTCAGTATTTGTAAACAGCAATGGATCATGCCCAGTATTTCCTAGTTGAACCACAGATAACTATAATGATCTAATACATATCGATTTTACAGAAGACAATGTTGAAAAAGCACTATGCAATCTAAAACCATCTCTATCTATTGGACCGGATGGAATATGTGCCTACTTCTCTTTTCTATTGGATGCAAAGACATTTTGTTTTTCTTTTGCTATCCTTTACTAAGTATAAGAGTGACCCATGTACACTCAAGAGGGAATTCTAATGTCTGGTAACATGTTTAATACATGATTGCTTGTATCTCTGCAAAATCAACAGCTCTGACTAATGAAACCACAGCTTATTTTGAAGACTGGCAAAGATGCCTTCAATATGTATGTATGAATTCTTAATAGCCTATCCTGCCTTTTCCATTTCTCAGAATATGTTTAAGGCATCTCAAATAATTGTTAGGGATAACATTGGTTACCTAACTTAGTTTGAGTAAAATAATATATATAAACTATGTTAGTGAGTTTAAGTGTATGTATCACTTTAAACTGTAAACCAAGTTTTTGGGTGCGGTTGTAAAATCAGCATAAGAGGGAGCAAGAGAGCTCACTGTTTGCCCTGGCTTTTACTGGAATGCTGACAATGGATTGATGGTGATAACTGCGTGTTTGCTGAGAGAAGAAAAGGGGTTTGATTTTTCTTCATATCTCTGACTGCAAAAGAGATATATCACTGGACTGATTGATTGTAAGTTTAATGAACTCTTTTTCGACACTGGACTTTGCAAACTGAATAACCCCCGGACTGACTGAACTTAGTGTATGACATATGGACCATTTGACTATGCTATAACTCTTGCTGGAATAAAAACTATTTAACTTGCACAGTGTATCTGTCTTACTGAGTGTAAGCTACTTCAACGTTTTGTCTCACATATCTGCCTGCCTGCTAGACTGCTGTTGCACGTTCTGCTAGGGTGTATATCCCTAACAATAATCATGACAAACACACCATCATTTAAAAAAAAAGAACTTGATCCTACTTCTGCAGTAAAGCACATTTCAGCAGATACTAGA